GGAGGAGGAGGAGGAGCGGGAGATGAAGGAGGAAGCAGGAGGAGGCAGGAGAATCGGGAACGAGGGGGGGAGGAAGGAGGAGACGGACGGGAAGGGGAGGGGGATGAGGGTGAGGAGGAGGGGGACAAAAAGGGGGCAGGAGGAGGGAAGAAAAACGAAGTGGAGGACGATGAAAAGGAGGAGGAGGGTGAATTGGAGGAAGATAAAGAGGCACGGGGACCAACGGGGGAGGATGATGATGAGGACGAGGACGAGGCATGTTACCTCTGACATTTCCTCTCGTCTTTCATTCTCTCTTGTGCTCGTGCTCCCTCTTCCGCATTATCTTCAGAATGGTCCCCTTCTCGTTTCCCTGCTTCATCCACCTCTAGCCTTGCCATATTTCTGCTTCCGTCCTCCATTGTCCCCGTCGACCGCCCGTTCCCCCACCTGGAACCATTCGAGTCAAGCCCAGCCACCCATTTTTCATTGAGGTGGAGGAAGAGAGGGAAGGGAGGAGGGACGGGGAGAAGATGCTGGAAACGAGGAGGGGGAGATTGGACAAGCGAGATTAGGACAAGGGCGAGTGAGAAGATGCGGGGGTTAGCGGGTAAGAGCTGGGCGAGCATATCGGGCCGTTGAAGGTGCGAAGGTTGGAGAGCGGGTGGGTAAGAGAGTGGAAGAATCAGGTCGGCTCAGATTTCTGCACGCTTTGTGCTCTCAAGTGGAAAATGGCCACGAGCGAGTCCTCACAACTTGGTGTATCATACGAGGCTGTGCCATGTCAGGATATCGTGCACATTATGAATCCTCTGCAGCTCGTTTGGCGTCACAGATGCCGCATGATGCCGTTGGCATCCATCTTCCTTCTCGTTGCGGTCGGGCTGCTCTGGATGGCACGGCCAGTAAAATTCAACTTCGGGCGCCAGATCATCTTTGGATCTTCGAAAGACGATTCGGTCGGATGCAGCCTGTTCGACCACATGGCGGCACTACGGAAAAAAGCAAGAGCGCTTGCGATGTACGCGTTGCACTACCAGGGCAACCGCATTACCCTTTAACCATGACTAGCTGCTTCTGTCTACCGCTCACTTTGGCACTTTGTGCATTTACTTTCGAGACAGTAGCAGCGGGGCATGTCTGTGCTGGAAAGAGATCAGGGAATAGTGAATAGATCTTCGCTGTAAAAGCTGTTCGTCCTCCTCGGCTTCTCAGCGTTGCAGGAGACCGCCTGAGCAATCCTGGGATTTACGACATCAGGTTGAACTGCTGCATGTATGTTACGGGTTTTGTTTATGACAGGATGTAACACAGGTAAGGGCTGTAGTCACGATTTCCCAGACGACGCCAGCCTTGCTGATTCACTACCGAACAAGGAATCACGACCATAATTATGTTGCTGTGGTGGGAAAAGCTTTGAACGAAATGTGATGTCCATACAGGCAGGATGCGTTTGAACAGGAATGCCGTCTTCCATTGAAAGTTTCCTAGAAGTTACGAGACATCCCGATTTGCATTCGGATCGGGCTCGCGCAATGCGGTGGTGTAGGCCGTAGGCACAGGTGCTCGAGGAAACACCTCAGAGTGCATCACCAGCAGAGGCTGCGAGGAGGATGCGTTGCACCGCGCTGTTCGGGGCGCAAAAATTCGAACCCCGCGAGCCCCCGACCCAGCAATGTTGCATCACCGTCAAGATCCTGCCCGAAAACTGCAGTCTGCGGGTTTCGCCGCGCAGTGGCGCCGCGTGCCGAGCGCAACCCGCGCGTTTATTGCGCAGGCTGCAGTCTGCGGGCCCCGACGAGTGGTCCAGTGCGAGCAACAGGCCGAGACCCTATGGGTTGAATTTCAGCAGCGAAGCCGTCCTGCTGGAATCCAGCAGGTGGCCCGCACGTTGGTCGGAGCCTTCTGGGCGACCCCCATGAGAATCTACGCGGGGCCTTCGCCGCCCATCGGACTTGCGTGCATCCGGCGGATTAGCCCGCCGGCGAGCCAGCGGCGCGCTGGCGGTCGCGCTGGTGGCCGGCGACTTTGGCAGCGTCACCCGGAGGCCAGTCAGCAGCCCTTTGGCCAGGGACCGATGGTTTGCAGCCCAGCCCTGTGCACCCCGGCCCTGCAGCCCAGCTCCCCAGGAGCTCCTTTTTTCTGTTGTAAATTCGGGCAAGTTTACTTGCATGGGCGTGGGGGGGGAGGGGGGGCTGAGCCTGAAGCAAGCCGAAAACAACTCGACGGACGGAAGTCACGCAAGGCGAAAGGCGCTTGCACGCTCGCATTCGAGTGTGAGGTGGGGTGGGTGGGGGGGGGGGCGGCGAACCGCCATGGTAGTAAATTTGCCTGGGTCGAAAGAATAACAGGCTTCAGTCCGGCCCGGGGGCCTGGCCCGGCCCCGCCCGGCGGCCTGCAGTCCGCCTGCCCAGCGCGCTGCCCCGGCTCGGCGGTTTGTCGGGTCGTGTCTCGTCCGTCTGGCGGCCCGGCGGCCCGGGCTTCGCTGGTGGCCACGCCAAAAATAGATTGTCGCCGCCCG